GCATGCAAACAATAACACAACAATAGTTTCTATTACCTACCTGCGCAAATAGTCGTGAAGCGCTCTATATTCGTCTGTTTCGAACGAAATATTCAAATCAGTGCAGAAAATCTGCCTCGGCGAATTACATGTTGGAAATTCTGGTTCATGGTGTATGGAAACCTTTCATTGGTTGTCGTTATAAACAAAGTTCCTACCGAACCAATGAAAGGTCTCGATACACCGGCTGGTCACGTGACCGGGGTTTCCCCAAGATGTCTACGTCGAAGCAGATTCTGCTCTGATTTGAAGATTTCGTTCGAAACAGACGAATATAGAGCGCTTCACGACTATTTGCGCATTTTTATATTTATATACATATTATAAGGTTATGACTAAAATCTCATTTTAAGGTCACTATCAAGCAGTATATACCATCCAAACACTGTGTGGGCCCCCTGTGTTTTTAAAAGTAATATTTATATATCTTATTATTTTTCCAACATAGTCACTTTAAAGGAACAAATGATAATAAATGCAACATATATGTTTAACTTATTTTATTTATGGTTGGCATAAAATTTCCGTCATGACTGATCATTAAGTAACATAAAGTTAATAGAATTTGAACCTTGATAAAAAATAGAATATTATAAAATAGGTTTTGCTTCGTCATCGATTGCAAAAACCTGTAATTTTATGTTAGATTTTCGCCATATCGACGGCTGAATAAGATCATTAAATATTCCAGACAATCTGTTATAGAATAATATTAACAATTACATGTATATCAATTATAATATTATATGACTAATACTCATATCCTAACAGTCGGAAGTGACATTTTATATATTGCTTATATATGCTTCGGTAGCTTAATATGTTTATTTCAGATATAATCAATTAAAATTATGTTTCGAAAAAAGAGACAATGTGCTGACAATGCCAGATATGATAAACACTTGATATCCGAAAATATGTTTTATAAATATTATCAATAAAAATTAGTTAAATTTTGAAAAGACTGATACAGCCATTTGTATATATAAATACATTTATCAAGCATATCACGATCAAAACTGCCATAGAATGTCTAGGACATTCCAAACCAGAACAATTACTCAACAGGTTTGATCGTATATTCGTCTTAGGAATACTGGCCGCCTACGTAAAACCCCTTTTGTAAGAGGAACCGTAGCATCCGTTGGCATGCACGGAGGAAACCTCCTCAGACTATTCCTCAGAATATAGAACAACGGACCTGTTCAGATATGCCAGTAAACATATAAAATACATACAGCTCAATAAAGAGAAACGTTCTTTATAAGAAAATTATTATTTTAAATAAATAGTAGTGTGATATATAATGTAAGTAAACTTGCTTGAAACCATGTATAACAATTTAATGACATGATAATAACCATTATATCAATACTTTTTTAAAGACAATATGTGATTTATTTACACATGGGTTAAGTGAATTAACAGTGTTTTGTTTTGTACCGACATCGGTTACAGGTTATCTTATGACTATTCTACAAATATTCGAAAGTCAGTTGCATCCCACAGGTGTTCGAAATGTTTATGGTTATGTACAGGCCAGTTAAATGTAAATTTTGAACCGACGTCGGATTCAAATGATAGGGGTCTGGCAGTCGACGTTGGTAAATTTCCGGATGTCGCAAAACAAATATTGACTGTTGAAATGATAATTCCAGCCATGACGAAGAAGGGTTAAGTATCGCGGCGGTCGTTATTACCTGAAAACAGAAAAAAGAGACAACAGCAAAGCAAATGGGAAGGGCGGGTGGGTATTTTTCCGTGTTAGTTCACGGCAGCTTCTGGAGCTCGGAGACTGGATCGAAAAGGAATTTGCAGAAGCGTGCTCGGTTTATATACCCAGTCTACTAAGCATGCGCAAACCAGATTGAATGACTTGTTAGGAGGAGGAGCCAAATATACAGGTCATTGCAAAAATACTGTGACGTATAGTGTAAAAATAAAGAGTTTAAACTCAAGCGCTTAAACTGAATATAAAATGCGCATGACAATGAAACAGTCATGTTTGTAACTATAGTTGACGGTCATAGTTTTTTATTATTTCTGCCCCAATTTGATTGTTTAATACAAAATAAGAATGGTAATGATTTCTACATTACAGAATGAGTTGTCCAGATGTGTAATATGTAAATTTATCACACACCCGTGCCGATTTTGCGACTCCGTAAATATGGTATTGCACGGCCGTAAGTCGCAAAATCGGCACGGGTGTGTGATAAATAGAGGATATTTAATGAGTGTAAGTTCATTACTGAATTAATTGCACTCGTTGAATAAAATAATATTATGCTCGCCAGAGGCTCGCATAATATAATTTTATTCAACTCGTGCAATAAATTTAGTATTGAACTTACATTCATTCAATATCCTCTATTTATCACACACCCGTGCCAATTTTACGACTCCGTAAATATGGTATTGCACGGCCGTGCATATATTTTGACGTGACGTCATTAGCGTATATAAACATAGTGTAAAGACGCGCTAAATGTTAGCGTGATACTATAGGCGCGTCAATGAAAAATGACTCTTATTTCACTTTAAACGGTCTTATTTTGGGTATGTGATAAATAGAATATTGAATTCGTGTAAGTTCATTACTAAATTTATTGCACTCGTTGAATAAAATAATATTATGCTCGCCAGAGGCTCGAATAATATAATTTTATTCAACTCGTGCAAAAAATTCAGTATTGAACTTACACTCATTCAATATCCCCTATAAAATATTTCTGTATTTTTTTTTTTATTCTAACAACAACAAAATACACAACAAAAAACACCACAACAACAACAAACCACACCAACAACAATTCGCTGTTATCATAAATAATCAGACAAAAGAATCATTTAAAACGTATTGCTGATTTATAATCTCGTGTTTAAATAATAATATAAGAGCATGTGAGATTCTTATCTCCTGTATAAAGTAGCGTTAAATGCGAAATTAGTTGTCATTAAAGTAGCAAATGCAAACAAATAAGCATTATTACTTCACCAAATTCAGGATAACTATAACACTAGTCACTAACAAAAAGCAACAGATCCAAGAACAGGGCCAGCCAGTAAAATTCTGAAAACTAAATTAAACAGGACACCAAAAATAAAAGGCTTTTGAGAAATAAAATTTAAAGCACTTATAGGGCATAATGGCCTTTAAGATAATAATTCTAATTCCTCCTCTTCTGTCAATCACGTGATTGTTACGTTATTTCTCGTATATTAATTGATACGTAATTATTTATCAAAATGTAAGTTCGATTGGTCTGTTTGTAAAACTTAAATATTTCTTTGCCTTTTGATTTATCATACAAAATCACTTAATTTGTTAGAATGATGTCTACATTTTCGAAATCAACGAATTGCGCATGCGCGGTATTAGGACCCTAATGGGCACTATCAGGAACTAAAAGATTGACATCATAAGTCAGATGTATACCTTAAAGTACACCTGTATGCAAAATTTAAACAAAGTTTACCGTACGGAAATCAAGTTATGGCCACTTTTCTGAACTCAAGCTAGGATGTTATTAGGGCCCTTTTTTAGAAAGTAGGAACCTTTAAATGATCTGCAATAACATTCTAATGAAAAATGTTTTCCCACTAATTTTTGGCAAGAAACAAATAGTATCATTCAGCTAACAATCCAAATAAGCAAAATTTTGGTTTCTACTTAAAATTTATGAAATCTGTATAAAAATGTTACCCTACCCCACCCATTTTTACCACGTGTCTGACCATTTTCTACTTAGGGAGCCTAATTTAAAAAATTCTTAAAATTTACCCAAATGAGTGCCTGTTTTCAAAGTTTCCCTAAATTTTTAAAAAAGTATATTGGTTGATCTTGTAAAATATGAAATACTTTTACCGTCTAGTTTTGATTATATTACACTTTGAAAATATCAGGTACCATATTTATTACTAGATTTAGCATAATTTAGCCAATAAATATCTATATAAATTAAAAAATCAAAATTAAACACTTTTTTATTTCCCAATGGGACATGAGAGATACATAAATAATGTTAAAAGAAAAAAAAGAAAGAAAAAAAATGTTGACCCTTCTGGGGATTGAACCCATGGCCCTCATTTTCAATGTAGTTAACAGTAGTTCTAGCCTATTTGAATACTCTTCAAAGCGGAGGTAATGCATTAGGGTGCTAATACCTATACGTAAACGCTCTAAAGTACAAGGGGAGTAAATTTTATGGTTTTCTTCACTACATGTTTGTTGTTAGTTATTGCGATTTGCTTGCGGAAGTCTTTAAGTAGATTGAAGAAAAGCTTAATTAAAATAATATACTTTATTACATATAAAGTTTATATTAATTTAAAATATATGAATAAATATCCTTAACCAAAATTATTATATATTGAAACATAGGTAAATAATATATTTGTTTTGTCATTGTGTTTTTTTAAGCACACAATGTTGCAACCCAAGTAGATTTTATCATTGAGAAATTGTCGTCTAGACAAAAGAACTTCTTTCAGGGTTAAACATACTTGACTATGTACCAAGGTAGTAGGAGTTTTAATAAATATAGAGACTATGCTCAACTTTTATATAAGAAAATATTGATAATTGCTACACGATCTCTTTGTAAATATGAAATAAATATATAAGCAGACATGTTATGATAAAAACTCTACAAACTATATGTGGTCACAATGTGAATATATCGAGTCATTAACAAATAGTAGTGTTTGGGTTTTTTTTTCTTTTTTTTTTCTTTTTTTTTAAGAAAGGACCAACTTTACTTGACCCGTAATATGGAACGCAGCTTCTCATACATAGACTACATTTACTTTATTCATTCTTTTATTCTGTATCGACATATTCAGTTAGAATTTTATAGTTTCGATTAAACACTTTGCTCTAGGATGAGCATAATATATCTTTAAATCGTCGGGAATGAAGAAGGTACACCATAAAGTTACATCAAGCGCACTAACACGGAACTTGGTTATTTTAAATCATGCATGTGATACATATCTGTGTGTGTTTCATTTAGCTTTCAAAACGATAGTCAATCACTTACAGTTTCATGATTGTGAAAATAAAATGTGAATATATATTAACAACTAAATAGGATATATTTTAGGATATTCACATGAATCTAGCGGTTATCATGGGAGATCGTACTGTGGTGAGTCTACGTGATTGGAAAGTATACGAGAAAGTGATACCAAAATACATTACTGGTAATATCAACATACACAAGGCTATTGTCTGGCTGCACGAACATGAATATATAACAATTGACGAAAAACTCAACTTAATATCACTCTGTCAATTACAAAGATGTGACAGGAATAAAACGCTTTTTAAGAAAATCTTTCAACTTCTTGACTTTCAGAACATTATAAGATTATTTCAAGAAATAGGTCAACATGCTTTTGCTGATGAGTTGAAACTGGAACGATACGGTTCAGGAATCGCCATGCCGTCACAAGGGGCAGATTTAGCAGTTACACGTGCGACATTTCGTTACTATAATAACATGAAAATTCAAATGGATAACAATATATTCAAGCAGGGCAGAATACCTGAACTTAACAGGCGTTCATTATTGTTGAAAAGCGAGATAATTACTGAACGGAACCTTTCGAGGAAACAGCGCCTTGTCAATCGGTATGCGATGGTCATCTACCAGAAAGTGGCACAGTACAGGTTTTATAGTTTTATTTTTTACTTTCAACATTACGCGTTCATTCCAAAATAGAAGTATCTTCTAAAGTATAGCAATGCGCATACTTTTTGCTGATGTTGAACATTTATTTCCTTTATGATCAGGAATATAAATATTTAACTAGAATTATTTAAAATATGGCCCAATCTAACCTATGAAATTACCACTATCTAACAATATGGGATTGCAATTATCTATCAAAATGAGATAACCATTATCTAACAATGTATAATTTCCGTTATCTAACAATATGAGATTGCCATTTAATATCTAACAATATGAAAATGCCGTTACCTAACAATGTATAATTTCCGTTATCTAAAACTCTAAGATAACCATTATCTAAAAATATGAGGTTCTCAATTTCTAACAATGTATGAATTTCGTTATCTAGCAATATGAGATTACTATAATCTAACAATATGAGGTTCCAATTAACTAACAATGTATGATTCCCATTTTCTAACAATATAAGATTACTATTATCTAACAACGTATGATTTTCGTTATCTAACAATATGAAAAATGTGATTATCTTAGAATATGAGATTTTATATGAAATCGCCATTATGTAACAATATGAAATTGCCATTATCTAACAATAAGAAATTGCCATTATCTAACAATATGAAATTGCCATTATGTAACAATATGAAATTGCCATTATCTAACGATATGAAAATGCAATTATCTAACAATATGAAATTGCCATTATCTATGAAGATGTCATAATGATATTGCCCATATATAAAAATATTAGATTACCATTATCTAAGAATCTGGGACTATCATTATCTAACAATATGAGATTGCCATTATCTAATAATATGAAATTGCCATTATCTAACGATATGAAAATGCAATTATCTAACAATATGAAATTGCCATTATCTATGAAGATGTCATAATGATATTGCCCATATATAAAAATATTAGATTACCATTATCTAAGAATCTGGGACTATCATTATCTAACAATATGCGTTTGCCATTATCTAAGAATCTTGGACTATCATTATCTAACAATATGCGTTTGCCATTATCTAAGAATCTGGGACTATCATTATCTAACAATATGCGTTTGCCATTATCTAAGAATCTTGGACTATCATTATCTAACAATATGCGTTTGCCATTATCTAAGAATCTGGGACTATCATTATCTAACAATATGCGTTTGCCATTGTATAAGAATCTTGGACTATCATTGTCTAACAATATGAGTTTGTCATTATCTAACAATGTGATATAACCTTTATCTAACAATATCAGATTGTCATTATCTAACAATGTGAGATTGCCGTTATCTAAGAAAATGAGATTGCCGTTGTCTAACAACATGAGATTGCCATTATCTAAGAATCTGGGACTATCATTATCTAATAATATGAGTTTGCCATTATCTGACAATGTGATATAACCTTTTGCTTGCATGTCAGAGAGGATTATCTACCGTTTACACCGGTGCCAGAAAACCCTGTCTTACACCCCCCATGTAAGACAAGTCGCGTATTTTAAATGGCGTCATTGATGCGCGCCTTTTATGAATGAATCGCGTTCTTAGGATGACGTCATTTTTCCGTTATGAGTGAAGTTGTATGTTCATACGCTACTATAAGAAAAAAGTGCGTGATGAGAATATCAGTTTTCATAATATCTGTTCTGAAAATAATTAACATGTGATATGCAAGAAAAAGAATCAAACACCGGCTGTTGGCACAGACGGGAATATCTAGCTCTCGGGTAACTGTTTAGCGGAAACTCGGTAGAGCCTCGTTACCGCTGTAAACAGTTACCCTCGAGCTAGATATTCCGGTCTGTACCGGCAGCCGGTGTAAGATTCTTATAATCTAACAATATGAGATTGTCGTTATCTAATAAAATGAGATTGCTGTTATCTAAGAGAATGAGATTGTTGTTATCTAACAATGTGAGAGTGCCGTTATCTAACAATATGAGATTGCCATTATCTAACAATATGAGATTACGGTTATCTAACAATATAAGATAGTCGTTATCTAGCAATTTGAGATTGCCATTCACTAAGAATATACGGGACTACCATTATCTAACAATATGCATTTATAGAAAAAAATGGATTTCCTGTTTATTATGATACATTTTTCTCTTTTTGACATTACAATTTGAATGACTTTCCCTTACATTTTGTGTACTGGCAGAATTAAGAAGAAAGTAGTCCGACAAGACACCAGTGAAAATACGGAAAATATGTTTTACTGCAGTGAAAAGAAAAATTACAGTAAAAACACCGAATATGAAAATACGCGTTTTAGTTCGTCAATATTTCTCAATGTTTCATTTATAAACATATTATAGTAAACAGTGTTTATTCATAGCTGGATATAAAGATATACATATAAAAAGGTACATTTGCCTTACATTCATTTATGCAAATGAATACATTTTCAATGTTATTATCAAAAAACATATTTTCATTGCCCCAGGCAGTTAACAAGCAAATCGTAATATGCGTGTGCATGGTGTGTGTCACAGCGACATCCTTGAATTTCGTGTTACAGTTTTATCCAATAAATTGCACGTTTAAAGCGACAATGTGTCGTGTTTTTTTTACTGTCAAAGTGAGATAAATTAATTTCAAAAGATTGACCATTGTAATAGCAATTGAACAATAATTGATATGGATAAAAAATAAAAACTGTCTGAAATATTAAAAGACTGTCCCAGTATTTTACCGATAATTGTCGAGGGATAGTTAAAAATATTTATGTGGGTCACGTGAGTTATTGATTAATCATAAAATTGGAAAGAAATACTACTAAATGTTATGTTATTTTGAGTGTTACCATGACACTCATCATTTGAGCCGTGTCACGACAAAACCAACATAATGGGTTTGCGACCAGCATGGATCCAGACCAGCCTGCGCATCCGCGCAGTCTGATCAGGATCCATGCTGTTCGCTTACAAACCCTATTACATGTAGAGAAACTGATAGCGAACAGCATGGATCCTGATCAGACTGCGCGGATGCGCAGGCTGATCTGGATCCATGCTGGTCGCAAACCCATTATGTTGGTTTTGTCGTGACACGGCTCATTTACTTTTAGATTTACGTTGACATTATTTCTCTCGTATCAGTTCCTTTCTACCCTCAGTTTGACGTTCAAAATGGCAAGTCATTACGGACATATTAAAGTATATTTAGGAAAATAAAATAATTTACTTATTTTACGTGAATAACATGTCTTGTACCTGACAAATTTAAAACCAAATAACAGTTTTTAACGAGATTGCAACCAAATCTACATTTATATTACTTAAAGACGTTAAAATAGAGTGATCATGGTCATGAAGTAAATATAATTTGATTTATGAACAAGTTTTTTTTTCCTTCTAAAATTTCAATAATTTTCGGATTTGTATAGTGACTTATTATACGTTTTCATATTAGAGATGTCATGTCCAAATATTTAGGAAATTCGAATATTGTGAAATAGGGTTTAAATAAATTAACAGTTGTAGCCGTCACGCAAATTGACTATAATAAATGTTATTTCTAACTTCCTTGATACAATCATTTAAAGAAAATTTGAAATGTTTGAAAATAAGATGCAATCACGATTTTACTGCATATTGTCACTTCCCCATTTAAAAAAAAGTTGGTTCAATATTTCACCACAAATCAAGTAAATGACTTACAGAAAAGAATATTCTTCAAAACATCTGTTTTTGATGCATTCACAATTAGTGATACTTATTTGTTAAACAGTTACAATTTTTAGTTTTTTAAAGTGGTAAAATTCATAAAACATTTTACGACACGCACAACAAAATGTATAAAAGTTGTTTAAACGGTGCATACATTGTAAATTTGAAAGTTTAAATTGACATTATGCCCATCCAAGGGTTCGATATAGTGCGTGTATAGGTGAAAGTAAAACAAGTTTACACTTTCAATTTTATAATTTACTTTGGTAACTTACGATGTAATATTTTCATGAGTGGCGTAGCCAAGAATTAAAGTAGAACATCTGGCGTCCATGATTAAAATATGAGCCGCGTCACGACAAAACCAACATAATGGGTTTGCGACCAGCATGGATCCAGACCAGCCTGCGCATCCGCGCAGTCTGATCAGGATCCATGCTGTTCGCTATCAGTTTCTCCACTTGTTATAGGGTTTGTAAGCGAACAGCATGGATCCTGATCAGACTGCGCGGATGCGCAGGCTGGTCTGGATCCATGCTGGTCGCAAACCCACTATGTTGGTTTTGTCGTGACGCGGCTCATATATTTCAATATTGCATGTGAAAGAAACAAATTTTCTATTTATTTCATACTTTTAAGTGGTAATTTGTCATTATTCTCATGTTTGCCGCGTAACGTCACATGCTCTATACTTCTTGATGTCATTACATCATAAAGTCATTATGTTAATGTTGAAATACAGTTCTTTAATTTTAGTCAAATATTATTATATCTGCCGGTATTAATTTCGATTTTAGGATACTACGTCATCGCGCACTTGCAAAATGCTTACATTCAGATTTTCTTTTATTATTATAAAAATAATTATTATTTTTTGTCGAATATATCTTCTTTTTAATTCGAAGAAATCGTTAGAATATCGAGAAATAATGTAGCACATTGATGAAGACTGGCTTTACAGTACTAACTTGATATGATATTTTTTAAAAAATCGTTTAAAGTTTTACTGTCTGGTTTAAACCTGAAAACGGGATAAATTTCTTTTGGGGGTCCGAGCGGGAGCATTTAGGAAAACAACTTTATCCCGTTATTCGGACTAAACTAGACAGTGAAACTTTTAACGTTTTTTTTAAAATTATGATAAGTACTAAAGTCAATCTTTGGTGCGCTACATTATATTTTTGATATTTTAACGATTTCTTAGAATAAAAACATATCGACAGGTTGTTTTCCAGATGCGCATATCGTCGGCTTGTTCCGGTCAGACCCTTTAACTCAGAGTTATGGCCCTTGATTAGTTATGTAGTATGCATATAGAGAAAAAATCGTTTCCGCACTACTTCTCTGCAACTACTGGCTGGAATTCAACGAAACTTTATGGGAACCTTCAATACCAAAAGGGAGATGCGCATATCGTCGGCTTGTTCCAGTCAGCCACTTTAACTCAGAGTTATGGCCCTTGATTAGTTATGCAGTATGCATATGGAGTAAAAATCGTTTCCGCGCTACTTCTCTGCAACTACTGGCTGGAATTCAACGAAACTTTATGGGAACCTTCAATACCAAGAGGAGATGCGCATATCGTCGGCTTGTTCCGGTCAGACACTTTAACTCAGAGTTATGGCCCTTGATTATTTATGCAGTATCCATATAGAAACATATTTGTTTCCTCGCTACTTCTCTGCTTCTACTGGCTGGAATTCAATGAAACTTTATGGGATACTAAGAGGAGATGTGCATATAGTCGCCTTGTTCCCGGTCAGATACTTATAACTCAGATTTATGGCCCTTGATTAGTTATGTAGTATGCATACATCTCATTGGCATTTCCAGATTTTACTATTTAACACAAAATTATGGCTCTGTTATTGCCCTGAATATTTATCAAGTTCAAAGAATATTACTGTTTATGCCATGATTAATATACAAATAAAGCCTTATGTCTTCAGTTGTTGTGTTAATAATAACCAGTACTCGGCGAGGGATATAAATTCAACGAATTTGCTTGTTTATTATATGAGCCGCGTCATGACAAAACCAACATAATGGGTTTGCGACCAGCATGGATCCAATCAGCCTGCGCATCCGCGCAGTCTGATCAGGATCCATACTGTTCGCTTACAAACCCTATAACAAGTAGAGAAACTGATAGCGAACAGCATGGATCCTGACCAGACTGCGCGGATGCGCAGGCTGGTCTGGATCCATGCTGGTCGCAAATCCATTATGTTGGTTTTGTCATGACGCGGCTCATATATTCTTTTCATCTGCATTTATATATAGTCCGGCTACGGTGAAATAAAATATAATTATAATATCATTGTAACAATAAACAAATATAAGTTCACTATCCGCTGGAAAGCATATACTAAAACAGACATTCTTCTGAAATATATTGTCAATTCTGTTTACCTTGACAATGAAAAAAATGAGTATAATGACACTTTAGGATAATATACAATGTATAACGTATGGACAAGAAAACATTTTCAACAGCAGATTACAATATTGTCTTCACATCGGTCAATGTCATATTAGCAAATCCTAATGTTTTACACTTTTATTACTATTATAGGGATAGAGACAAAAGAGTTCAAATATTAGACGAAATGAAGCAATCACTACCAGATGACGTAGATCCAAATTTTACAAATATTATTTACGCCAGCAAGATGGCGGTGACTGAAATGCATGCGGACCACGTGGCCTCTGCTGAACGCTATATGGATGAGGCATTTACACAATGCGACGGATGTGACCAAACATTCGTGAAGTCTTTTTTGTTTCATGATTTACAATTTGTGTCTAGAATTCTTTATTCATACTCCCCTGCTGAAAATCATTTAAAAGACACAATATCACGCGGGGACCTTGGTCTATTTTTCATGCAAGAAGATTTTGATTCAACAGCAGCTCAAATATGGAGTAGAATCTATCTCAGTGAAAACGCAATGGGGCTCCTTAAGGTCCGGAGCAATTTTAAAGTACTTGTAAACGAAAGTGTGGACGGGAGTGAACTTGAACATGCGGAGCAGCTATTATCTCGTCTGCTGCGATCACGTGACTCACTCGAGCTTAGGAGAGAAATGATATACAATCTGTGTCAAGCACGTGTGTGTGAACTTAAAGAAAATATAAACGATGCAATCGGATTCGCATTCAAGGCGAAAGACCTTGCAAAGGAAGGCGTCCATTTTAAAAATGACGAAACTAATATTGATGAATATTATAAATACTTGTGCAGAAAGGGTTAAAAGCGGTGTTTCTTTTTTAATGGCTGATAAATGTCATTTTGTCAAAATGGAACAATTGACGATTTAAAAACGCATTACCTTGGGGGGACTTTAAGACGCCTTATATATATATATATATACAGTCACATTCCTCCATTTACGGGGCATCGGTCTATTTGAGACCATACTTGTGGGGTTTATATTTAATGTGGGGCATACATAAGGCCTCGCAACTCTGGCATGTTTAAAACGATGTATGGGAGCGTAGGCTACCCTTCTAACATAGTGCCCGTAGGCCGGTTTTAGTAGTAAATGATATATGTCCCACAAATGTATATATTTTTAATGGGGTTTTATGTTATTGGTCAATATGTTTTCACCTATGGTAAAATTAAATATATAGTTGATATATATAACTTAGTACCCCTTAGTTCTGTTGTTTGGAAATGTCATTATATGCCTACATAGTGGCATATATAAAAACTGACTGCATGAAATAATGCCACTCAACTCGGTCTTATAAATAGGCCCCGTAAGTGAAGATATGTGTGAATATATATATTCGTAATTATAAGTAAGTAATTGTTCTTGTAACTATATGAAACGAGCTAGTTACGAGGGTATAACGCTGACTGAGGCGACATCAAAGAACAAATGTCGAGGCCGTGAGGCATTGCATGTATTCGGTTTCACTTTTCATAATCTTTCGCAAAATTTTAAATGCACTCTTTCAATTTGTATCGACTTAGAATATTCCCAGACTTTACATGAATAGTTCAGAATAGAAACAGCAAAAGCACCAAATAACTGACACAATAATTTTGGACTAAATTAAATCATATTCATTACATTTTCACAATAACACATTCCTAGCTTTATCGCCTTACATGTACCTAACAAATATTCCTGGTTCAATAAAAAAAAGCTAGTACCAGTGTAGCAGCTCCAGGGTAGCTATTGTCATTTATCACTTCAGTTTATTTACAATCATAATAATTCACCTCTTTTAAGAAAGACCATTGTTTTTGTATTGATTGCATTTATCTTAAGTCGCCAGTTATCACAATGATTTTTAAAGTACCTCAAACTTCTAGTGATTCCTCAGGCGATTGACCTATGATGGTCATGTCATCAGCAAACAACTAAATCATTAAAACTTTATTCTCCAATAAAAGACCAGAGTCGACATTGTTTAGTGAAAAAACTGAAAACAATTCTAAAAATTCCAAAAACAGGGAAAAAAAACATGGGAGACCCCTGTAGGAGCACATTTGTCTCGGAACACATTTGTCTCACGATGTGTGACCGATGTGCTCGTAAACATTCATGTTTACGACAAATTGGAAATGAGACAGATGTGTTCGACCAGCAATAGAAAGGACACTCAAAGCAAATTTGTCTCACAGTCTTTCATAAAATTCTAAAAAGGTAATAATTATGCTCGTCCATATACCGGCTATCAGCAATTGTCCTGCGTTTTCTGTATTTATAATACCGTTTTTAGGTCACTTCCGGTCAATCAAACACTTCCTGCCTCTGCATAGGAGTCACATATTAATTAACTTAAAGAATATCCCTGTCTGTATGTCACAATGAAAATTTCTTCCAGTACAGTATCCAGAGCCCAAACACATATACAGAGTGTCCTTTCTTATCGTTATTGATTGTGGATGGTTTAAGCTTTATAAATGATTTAAAAATAGTCTAAGCAATCTACGGTTGCATAAACGGGACATAGTATTTTCTTATTTATTACGTGCGCAAGCGATAGCTATTACGTGGCCATCCGATACTAATACTATTACGTGCGCAGCGATAGCTATTACTTTCTAAAGGGATAGTTATTGCGTGTGCACGAGGATAAGTACATATTCTGCATTTGGGTTTCCTCGCATGAATAGTTAGACGCCACAAAGGAGTGTCGAACCTACAGCGGTTAGGGGGAAGTGGTTTTTTGAAATCACTCGGACATGGAGGCCACTTCATGATCTCAGAAAGAAAATGAGAAAATCATCCCATACATATTTTGTTTTCGTCAGATAAAATATCGCCATTTTCCGACAGATCCGCTATTGAAAAAGCTCTTACAACGTGTATGAGTCCCTAAAATAATCCGGGTAATGCAATAATCATGGAATATCGGCCTCGCATAATCGGGCGAGACGGGAAATTCCGACGAGACACGAATCGATGCACGATATTGTAACACGAGATCTCGCAATGTCGAAGTATCCCGTACCACGAGATGTCAAAGTAGAATATCGTGCCTCACGTCATGTTTTGTCGAACTTTCGCTCTTCATGTCGTGTCTCTCGGTAAAATATCGCGCATCGCTTCGTGTCTGTGCTTCTCAAAGGTTTGAACTATGGTAAAGGAACCAGCGCGGAGCCATCTGGCCTTGTCGTATTGGACACCATTTTTTCTCTTAGCAAATGGCCACAGACGTCTAAATTTAAGATATTTTCTGTTTAAATTTCATCGTTGATATTTTTTTGAAACATTTTGGTAAAATTGTACTTGATAAAGTGAATTTCAATTTTAATATTGGAGTTTCTTCCACGTCATAGCAGATTATGTTAAGTGATTTTATGTTAACAAATGTGACGCTAGACATTTTCTTAAGAGATGCATGACTCCTACTTTTATCAGTTTTATCATAACTCATGATTTGTTCTCTAAAATGAGTCTAGCTATGTTTTGTAGATCTTCGAAAAACGTCTGTTTTATATAGATTATAAAGGGAATACTATTTAGCGGTATTTAGCCTCGAAGGATTTTCTTGTCTCAAGTCGAAGTACGAGATGCAAAGCGAGGCGCGAGATTCCAGCGAGATGCGAAAACGAGTCACGATATTGTATCGTTTAAACATCGCCTGATTACGTTGTTTCGTTTGGACATAAGCAACAACTTTTGTCTCTCTGATCCACTATGCACGAGGGTACAATTTTGAAAACGCGATGGTGCGCTGATGAAAACACCACGGTACTATGATGAAACAACGATGGCAGGATGGTGAAAATACCATGATTCGTTGACTTGATGGTGAAAATAATATCGCGTTTTCATCATAATGTCATTGCAGTTTCATCATCTTACTAACGTATTTTCAACATCGTAGCATCGTGCTTACACCATCGTACCATCACGTTTTACCATCGTACCATGGTTGTTTCACCATCATACAATCGTTGTTTCACGTTCGTATCATAATGTTTTCTCCATCGTACCATCGCGTTTTCATCATCGTACCATCGTGCCATCGCACTTTAACCATTGTACCAAGGAATGTCGTGCTTCAGGTTTAGCCAATCAAATTTCTTGAATTAGAGGTATTGAAATACATTGTATATATAGTTCCACTGTAGGTTTTATGTTTAAGATTTTATATTAAAACATTTGCAAACCTATTTATGATGAAGTAAAACGGCGAACCTCGATTCTAAAACAAAATCTACCGTGGGAAAATATGTGACAAATAATTCATTAACAAATGACATGAGACAAATGTGCTTTCTTGTCCCTTAAAAAACATGAGACAAAATGTGCTTTTGTTCCCCTAAAAAACTTGATCGGAGCACATTTTGTCACACAAATGAGATGTTTTTTGGGTAGACATTTTGAGGTCCCATTTGTCTCACGTGGGACAAATGCGAACGCGATCGGTCTTACGTACGACAAATGTGTGTTCCGAGACAAATGTGCTCCTACAGACCCCCCCCCCCCCCACCCGTTGACTAAAAGGCTACAGCATAACTAAAAGTAATAATCAGAATAATTAATAAATGACTTAAAACATGGTTTTAGTTTTTATTCATACATATCACTTACTATTCTAAATATTTAAACATGTATACAGCAATTGTACAATTTTTCAACCATCAATTGAATCGAAACATTTCACCGTATCAGCACAAATAACATACAATCTATCATTAAAATAAATAAAATAACTTCGTTTTTATTTTCCTTCTTATTTGAAGGTAGGTTACTCTTTCGGTCTAATTTGTTCAATTAGATAAATCACATACATGTGATGACAAAATATAAACAGGCTCGTAGCAATACTATAACCAATGGGTCGAGAATCATTGCACACGAGATAAATTAGCTCTAAGCCAGTTGGACTTGTTGTAATGAGGCATGAACAATAATGTTAAATGCATAAAAATAACGATATAACAATATAGACTAGATGACGCAATTCACTGTAATGACTTGTTTTGGTCGTTTTCACTCGTTTTATATTACTGTCAGCAAAGATTATTTTGTTTTTCAGAGGTCAAACAAAATACAATGACTCTGATAAATCTTAAAGGGCTTAGCCGTAATTTAGTATCGCTTAATAAATTAAGACGATTTAGGGACATAAATTCTGCATTCTTTTCATTGTCAATAACTTTAATACGTAAAAAGGCGTATGGTGTATGCAATGATAAACTAGTATTGTAGGTCGCGAGTCTAACAAAATAAATTACTTAATAAATGTAATTATGACAATGGCATTTTAAACATAAGGAGATTAACTTGTTTATGTGTCAAACTTACGTGAACACTGCAAAATGTAGAACAGTATGACGTATGACTATTATTCCATATGGCCATATTTGATATATACGTCAAAATGACAAGCAATATAAAACTCTAGTCAGCAGGTAGCCATCCAAGTGGACTTCCGTCGACGAACGTTTAAGGCTACCAGCCCCTCACTGCTGTGGGTTTCGGATTCCGCCAGGTACTTTGAATGATTTTATGTGAGAAACTTTTCCAGCTGGTTCAGACAACGTCTGTTGTTCTCATTGAGGGGAAATTTGGAGCCTTTCCTCAACAGTAAAGCTGGTATTGCACCATAAAACAATTACTGTGTCGATGGGATGTATTATTACCAAACAACAACAACAAAAGAGCTGCAACAATAATTCGTAGCATACCATGCTGCAAGTACACAGCCTCTGATCAGGCTTCCATCTTTTTATTTTTTCTTTCTAATTAGGATAAAAAATGATAACATAAGTTAGACAACTATGCAGACGACATTTTGCATGTGAAAGATAAAATAGAAAGAAACAATATTTCTAATATATATATAAGAATATTGTGTTATTCTTTTTAAGGTGCTTTGTTACACCGCACTTTGTGGTCAAACGCACCTTGGTGTCAAAGTTGACAGTGTTATATCAGCCATGACACAACAAACGAGCCCGTGTATGCGTGATTGTTCAAACACGCGTCTTCAATTTTTTTATTTTCTAAAATTTTATTTGTGTGACTCACCAGAAAGAAAGGATTCTATTAAAATGAAATGAAATCTAGACCGAGTTATACATTCAGTATTGAGTCCCCCTAGCCCCCTTCCTGCCCGCGCAGATCATAAAATGTCACGTGTCATAGACACCGTGTGATGGCGGGATTCGTTTTTAGAATGTCTATGCCTTGTCACGCCATTCATCAGCATCGAAAACAAATATAAATAAATATTATATATTATAAATAATGTTCTTATATTCGACGCATGATTTTGTGTATTTTTCAGAGCGGGGGGGTGGGGGCTGGGGAGTCAAGGGGTTATTTTTCACCCTAGATCTG